GGTTTAAATTTTTATATTAATATTTAAAATAAATTTTTTGTAATATATTATATTGATATAGAGACATTAATTTATTAAAAATATTTAATTAGTTTCATAAATATTAATTTTTACACTTTTTTTTTATAAATTAATTGACTTTAAAATCAACAACCCATAATATTTCTAAGAATAATAAGTTTACGAAGAACCAAGTACTGACTTAGACTAAGTCACCATTCGATAGTCCTACATCTACAAGACTATTGAATTAGCATAAATAGAAAACTTTCTACGATCCGTGTAGTGCGAGCTACAAAAGTCCACCTCTTGGGGCTTTTATGATACCACGAGTTGACCCTATTAATTAAGAGGCTATGGTGTTAACTGTCCTTTCAGAGCATATTGCAAAACAACATTATGAAATCTAAATCCCTCATTCACAAGCAAAGGGACTTGTTGGATGGTTTAAAAGTGTTAGATTTGAAAGTAGATAATTTGAAATGAGTTCTTAACTGATGGATTAAATTGTCGATTTGAAAAATTTTAGTCCTTAACATAAAATGATTAAATGGAAGAAGGACAAATGATGATATCATTCATGCATTCGACTGTGTGTGAATTGAAATAAAGGCTTGATCAGTCTAGATCATCCAGTCGATCAAGACACCACCAAGTTGGGATATGATCATCGGCAGTGGTCAGAATGATAAGACCTTTTCCGTAGTGGTATGTGCATTCTAACATCATATAATTGAAGCCGGTTGGGATAACAGACATGTGTCACATGTCTCTGCTTTAAACTGTTTTTGGATATCGCTACCCACAATAATAATATGGAGAAATCTTCACATTGCTTCGCATACTTCTATGTGATTTTCCTAAACCTGACAACATGTTGATTCTCTCTATTTGTTTGCGTGGAAAATGAGCACGGCATTGATTTTCAAATAAGAAGCCTTGGATCTGATTATATTGGAATAGCTTCTGTACAAGTATCAATAGTTGTAAAGTGGCAAGAAAACATTCTTGGATGGTTTAAATGGTTTGGACTGTGGGCAGTTTCCTAAAAAAAGTTTCACTTCCTTTGGAATCTTCTTTTTCAATACACGCTAAAGATCAAGAAACAAAATAAGTTAATACAAACTGCACCACTTCATCTCCTATGATATTTTGGATTATTTATGATATTTGTAATAGTAATTTGAAAGTATTCAAATGGTTAAAAGAAAATTTTTAGCTGAGCTCCAGCAAGAAAGTGAACATGGATTTTATATGGAATTTTAAGGGACTATAATTAAGTTTTTGCATGTTATTTCGATTGGCTGCTGCTACTAGCTATTGTGAGATAGAGAAGACTATTATGATTTTGGTGTGAGCAAAGCAAGATGTAACTGTGGGTTGTGGGTCGTCTACATGGGACATTGGCTGCCAAATGAGCTCTGCCCTTAATTGGAGTTAAACTATGCATAGAGAATGTGTTCTTTCTTACTGACTTATCATGTTTTAGATACTATCTGTTAAAATTTTCGTCTGTGATTATGTTCTCTATTCCAGTTGTATTGGTTTGCTTCCATTCTTTCTATGCCTGTCTAGGAATCACCCAAATAACCTAAATATTGTGTGTTATGAAGTGTTTTGTAACGAAAGATAGAGAAGACCATAATGATCCTACCATGTCTGAGTTTCTTGAAACTTTACTCCCACTATATATCATGATCCAGATTTTATGCCAATCCCATATTCCAGGTGCACTAGCTGCTGAAGTTTGAAGTTGCCATATCTAGGTCCAATGTTCCACGTTTACTTGCTGGTAAAGTATTCTTCGAATAGAATTTGGAAATTGATAAGTAGCCATATCTAGTTCTACTAGATTCTAATTCTGTAGATGGTCTGTGATGCTAACGAAAGGAAATCCCTTCTGTTCATATACCAGATGAAGCCTTTCCAAAAATGAGGTTGCTACTCCATAATATAGTTTTGCTTGTGTTGTGTACCTGTACAGCTAGACATCATGCCATGTTGATTCCCCCTTTTTTTTTCTTTTTTTTCTTTTTTTTTTTCTGTTCTTTATCTTTTCTACCTCCAAGAAATCTCTAAATATGGCTTGGTTCTGTATCTCCTGCAGAAGATTTAGCCGAGTTGTTATCTACTCGAACTTGAAAACTTAATTGTGAGACTAAGATCCGGGGTTTAAACCTCTAGTGAAATATTTTTCTTCTTTCCTGATAGCTTCAATTGCCAAAACTAGATCAATTTCCTGAACTCTTCCAAACTTTTTTTTTCTTCCCCTTTAAATCCCATTTCATGCTACAGATTTGAAGCAGAGACTTCCAGATTTTCTTTCATTTCCTCCTTTTGATTTTCTTTCATTTTCCTGTGTTAGGATCTTTTTATGCTATGTAAATCAAAATAGAAACATCCAATATTCTCCAATGAAAAATAGCCATAAAATCCATACAGAATTGCAGGGGGCAAGATTTATTCCTGCAATATCTGCATAATGGGAAAGGAAGCTTACAATGAGTCACTGTCAACTCCATAAAAGATCAAAAACATTGGGCGCATAGCCCTCACAAAGAACCAGGCAATCATTTTCCTCTTGGCATTGCTTATTTAAAAAAAAGAACAATTTATTTTAACCATCTCATAATCTCAATTTATTACTCATATGAGAAGGTCAAAATAAATACACAGATAATAATATTATTATTATATTTATGAGATACACTAATATTGGTGTTCTTTAGGCTTTGACTAATAATAATAAGATATTAGTGTTTGTTCGCCTTACCTTAAAAAAAAATTAGGAGGAAAAATGACAAAAATCACTTTAATGCATGTTTTAAAAATATGATAGTTTAGTTTTTTTCAATAAAAATTTATTAAAACGATTTAATTTTGGAATTATTTTTCTTTAGTCTTTAGGAGGTAAGGTTGATAGGTATTATTTCCTAATAATAATATTAGTTTCATTGCTTGGCATTGCTTACATTAGATTATTCAATAATATAAATATTTATTTCATAATAAATAAAACAGTTATTATGGAGGACCTTTAATACAATTTCAGATTAAATGCACTGATTCCCTACTCATCAACAACCAACACCAAATTACACAGAATTATTATGTGAATTAATTTTGTAGCATCAACTTCAGCTATACAGTTTCACAATTAAAAATCTCCAAATATCAATATATGTTATTCAATAACACCCAAATAACTCAAATGTCAGCATATTCACTTCCTAAGTTTCAACGCAATCACTTAATTAAATAAAAATTCTATTAACTAATTAATTAAATTAAAGGTCCACTCACATTAATTACAAGTGAAGTGGAGTCACTTGTTATATAATTAAAACTTTTTTATGTTAGAATTTTTTGTGCAAACGAGTTTTAGAGTTTGAAATTTATGAGTTGTTAAAGAATCAATGGAATTAGTAATCTTGAAAAGAGATTGAAAACTATTTCTTATATTGGGTTGGGCAGGCCATAGGTTAGTTTTTATTAAGATAATTATTTATTTTAAAAAGTTTCAAAAACATCTTTTAATTTCTACCAATATTCTAGAGCAACAATAACTATTTTTCTTATTCACCCCCCCTTTTTTTTTAAATAAAACTATAATGAATCTCCATGGAGTTCAAAATTTCAAATAATTCTAGACATAAACAAATAATTTATGCTTGAAAATCATGGATAAGTAGTGATACAATAATGTCCCAAACATGAAAAATAAGATTAACATGGTTTACCTACCGAGTCTAATCATGCTTGCGCAATGCACTATGTCTCAAACTCATGAGAGTTTTCATATATAAATTAATGGATATTAGCTTGTACTGTAAAAAATTAAGTAAAAAAATACATTAAAACTATGTCATTTTAATAAAACACCACAAGAAAATACTAAAACAACTTCATTATTGCTTTACCTTCTAAAAATTAAAAAGAAAGTCATTCTAGAACTATATTATTTCAATAAGAAAAATGCTATAGTTATAATGCTATAGTTATAATGCCACATGACATTGTAAACTTACAAATATGATATGTCACTATGTAATTAACTTTTTTTATTTAAGAGTTCGTTTGTGATATTATATGCATCAAATCGTTTAATATTATGTCATATTTCATTTAATGCCATGTAAGATTATAAATTTACAATCCTATGCGATATTGTAAATATAGCATTGCCATTACAATAAACTCTTATTAAAAAAACTAAAACAACTTATTTTTAAAGTATTAATAAAACTATTTTTTTATCTTTTCTCGTAATATTTTATTAAAATTGTGTAGTTTTAAATTAATTTTTCTCTTATTTTTTAAAGTATAAGAGATTTTAAATTAAAAAATCATGCTGAAACCTTGTAACAAGGTGCGAGATGTTTGAAAAAAAAAATTATTCAAGCTTAATTAACAAATGAAATCATCTTTGTTTCATTTTGAACTTTAACATCTACCTTACATTTTTACCAATAGATTAACCCTATATTTAGGTTAAGGAAAATGAAAGAGAGGGAAAGGGAGGAGTATTATATCCATTTATTCCTCTCCATTTCCCTCCCCTTCAATTTTTTGATAATCAAATAGGAAAATTTTTTTCCCTTCCTTCTATTTCCCTTAACATGTATCATAAAGCTTAGAAAAAAAAGATACATAGACACATCCATCACCCATCAGAGAACAGAGCTTGGTTTCCTTTTATGATCAATAATCAACCAGGGAAATGTAAAGGTAGAACAGAATAGAAAGACAGTTTTATTTGTTAATCTCTTGGAAAAATTCTGCATTCTGCATCCAAAAAGAATGATCAAATTAGAAGCAACACATTTTGTTCCCGTTCTACTACTAAAAACATTAGGCAAAGTCTGAGGCACTAACTAACTATTAGTAAGTAGTATAACATTATCTACAATTTGCAGTGTTCCAGTCTTCTCCGAAGGTTTACTTGATTTGTGTAAACTTTACATTTATCCTCCAACAAAAAAAACTTGATAGAATTAGTATCTATTAATATAAAAAATTTGATTTAAGATTAAGATAATGAGTTTCATACCCAAACAATGTTAAACAGATAATTTCCAATATACTTAAAAAAAAGAATTGTGTTAATGGTAAGTATTTAATTGGAAAAATACCAAAAAAGTAAAAATACAATTTAAATAGGCAAAAATATTATAATTCAACAATTCGTACAAGCAATAAAAGATAAATAAAATCAAATATAAAACTAGTCCATATTTGTTTATATATATAAGAATTCTCAAATACATTTAGGATTACGATAACCTAATCAACCAGTTCTTAAAAAATTAACAACCAAAAATTAAGATCCTCCACTAAAAATTATCATTATCAAGAGTATCAAAAATTTCTTATGACACTTGTGGTAATTTCTTAGAATAGAAGCACCAGAGCATAAATTCAACTCATTGATATATAAATGAGAAAAATAAATGGATAACCAAATGGTATGCATGAGTATAATTTTTTACACAATTGTCGAGTGTTCATAACTTTACAAATTTTAATTTTTACCAATATCTTAAAAGAAAAGTACACTCCTTTATTTTTACAAAAGTGACAATAAAATTCGATATATATTATCAAATAACTCTACATTGTACTTAAAAAATAATTTATGCAAAAAATTCACGAGATTTTTACCAAAAAGAGAAAATCATCATTAATTCATAACCTCACTTAAATCATGTTTTCTTCCTTTTTCTTTTTGGGCCTCTTCGGTGCGTTCAAATTAGTGAAAAGGCCCGCTGGCTCAAAGACACTGAAGGGCCTGAGGTCCAAATCTGAACTCCATCCCCCAAAAATGGAAAAAAAAAAAAAAGGAGGAAACGCACGGACGGAGGCCATCTCAGTCATTTCGAAAAAGATGCAATGGCTGATATCTTGTTCGGTTGTTCTCTCTGAAATCTGAACTGTGGGGATTTCCGTACTCCTTTCTTCTTCCCCTTCACCCCTCAGCCTGAATCGTTAGGGATTCAATTCAGCTTTGATTCTTCGTTCAGATCTCGAATTCGAATTAATCGATCAAAATGTACGGATTCGAAGCTATGACCTTCAACATTCACGGAGGTTACCTGGAGGCGATCGTGAGGGGTTACAGGTCGGGCCTCCTCACCGCCGCTGATTACAACAACCTCTGCCAGTGCGAGACTCTTGACGACATCAAGATGCACCTTTCCGCTACCGAGTACGGACCTTATCTCCAGAATGGTACGTTTTTGTTTTCTTCTTCTTCTCTCTTATTTCAATTGATTCGCTATGAGATTTTGATTCACAGTTTAAAGTGTTGTGTGGAGTCATGAATTTGAATCGTGCTAAATTCGTGTATTGAACTGATTCTGCATTTAGATCTTTTATCTATTTTGCTTGCTGAGGTTGAATTGCTTTTATCAATCCTTTCTGTTTGTTAATTATGGCTGCCTTTAGGTTTTGCTGAATTCATAAAATTCTTTTTAAATATAATCAAAGGATTTTCGATAATCCAATAACCTGAGTAACCAGTGGTTAGAATCGCTTAAGAGATTCCGGCTAAACAATCATTTGAGCTTGCGCACGCTGATTTGGAGTTGCTTGCATTTTTTTTCAAGTATTGTTTTCAATTTCGAAAGACTGATGTATTTTGGTAGCCTTCATTGCTATGCTATTTAGTTTCTGTATTACCTGGTTTTAACATCAGTTATTACACTTAATTATTCTTGCAGAGCCATCTCCATTGCACACAACCACAATTGTTGAGAAATGCACTCTTAAACTGGTTGATGAGTATAAGCACATGCTATGCCAAGCGACGGAGCCATTGTCAACTTTCTTAGAGTATATCACGTATGTGGATTTTATCTCCGTCAGTCTGTCTATTTATCTGCTTAACTATGCTATGTACACTATGTACACTTAATTTCTAGCCTATCCACACCTGATTCTTTTAGTGCGGTCAAAAGAAATCCTTTTAGATGTAAGCATAAAACATTTGTTACCACACCGGCATGAGAATGTGGAGAGATCTATTTTAACATTATATGACATTATATAGATGTCAGAGCTTTAGTAGTCATCAGTTACCAATAAAAAGGGCTAATAGCTCACCCGTCTGATCCAGATATGGCCACATGATTGACAATGTTGTCCTAATTGTGACTGGAACCCTGCATGAGAGAGATGTTCAGGAACTGTTGGAGAAATGCCATCCTTTGGGCATGTTTGACAGGTATATAGCCTTGCATGGTTTTTTTTTTTTTTTTTTAACTCTTTCACTGCATTAGGTATTGACTTAATTTTCTTTATTGCCTCAGCATTGCTAGCTTGGCAGTCGCTCAAAATATGCGTGAGCTTTATAGATTGGTTCTTGTTGACACGCCATTGGCTCCATACTTTTCTGAGTGTATTACATCTGAGGTATAGAGTTAATCAGTTTCTCTTTTTTGTTGTACATTTTGTACACGTTGTTACTGTTAATGCTCCGTTGATATCAAAACACGCCCTCTGCTCCATTGAATGTTTGATGCTGGGGTGATAATGCACAGGCAGCTCACATTTGGATGATGTAGAGTTGACATAAACCTTCAATTTTATGTTTTATGAACTAAGTTGCACCGGATAGTATTGTAGTGTTCCTTTTTCTACAATATCTTTGTTGTTCATATGATATGTTCTCTGTTATTGGATGATTTAACATTTTTTCTCTCCTACCTTTTGTTTTTTGTATTTTGACTGGACATTTAAATTTTTATATATTTTTGTTTTCTCTGTAGGACTTGGATGATATGAACATTGAAATTATGAGGAACACACTTTACAAGGCATACCTTGAGGACTTTTACAGGTTTTGTCAGGTCAGAGTAAATCACTAAAGTTGGAAGAAGAATGTTCCTTTATTTCTGTGCTTGCATTTCTTTTAGCTTGCCATTTTGTCTCATCAAAGTTTTGTATGGTTTACCAAACAGAAACTTGGTGGTGCTACAGCAGAGATCATGTCTGACCTCCTAGCCTTTGAGGCTGATAGAAGAGCTGTCAACATCACTATAAACAGGTAATCAACTTCTTGATTAAACTTGCTTTGAGAAATTTCCAAGTGCACTTTGATGGGTTTCCAGTTGATATTTATGGAAGATTTTTCATGTCTAATGTGGTTACTCTGCAGCATTGGCACCGAGCTGACTCGAGATGATCGAAGGAAATTGTACTCGAATTTTGGTTTACTGTGAGCCTCCTACACAAGCTGGATAGTTTATTTTTGGTTATCATGTGCTCCTTTGGGATATCGTTTTCTAATGGTAATTACTTCTTTTATATAGTTATCCCTATGGCCATGAGGAACTTGCTGTCTGTGAGGATATAGATCAGGTATTTTGGGTTTTATTCTCGTGTAAATATCGTTCTTGCGTCTGATACTAGAGTGCCTTTCTTAACTCTTTGCATTATGGATGGCGTATAAGTAGGTTACTCTTATATCTTGAAGACTAACTCTCTGGTCCTAGTTCTTAGTCTCATATTGGGTTACTGTTGTAGGTTCGTGCTGCTATGGAGAAATATCCTCCCTACCAGTCTATCTTTTCTAGATTATCCTATGGAGAGAGCCAGATGCTTGACAAAGCATTTTATGAGGAAGAGGTGAAAAGGCTTTGCTTAGCTTTTGAGCAGCAGGTTCGTGTTTCTATTACCAAGCACCCAAGCAAGAGCAATCTTGATTTTGTTTCTATCATTTCCTATTAACTCCCGTCATCTATTCACTTAAGACATGATTGAATATGCATTAATACTAACTTGGTTACTTTGGTATCCATGGCCTGTAGTTCCATTATGCTGTTTTCTTTGCATATATGAGGCTAAGGGAGCAGGAGATCAGGAACTTGATGTGGATATCAGAATGTGTGGCTCAAAACCAGAAGTCCAGAGTTCATGACAGTGTTGTCTTCATATTTTAGGTGCATCGCTGTTCCAAAGGAAGAGCCATATGGCTATCGTTTGATCTGCTGTAAATTGCCTTCTATCATACCGCATCCATCATTTTAATTGCAAGTGAGGTTTTATAGCTAGACCATCAGCAACCGTTGTCTGTTAAGAAATAAGTCCTTTTAAGAAGCATGTTTCCTGGGGACATATCTTGTAGTGTGATGCAAAATAAACAGGAAACTCTGATCGGACAACCTCGCACAAGGACATTAGCATGTTCAAATTTGCAAAAAGAAAAGTTATAGATAATGAAATAAATTTTGTTAGTTTTTTATTTAAGAATGTGAATTATGTTGGATTTTAGTTAGTTAATAAATTTTTAATTTTTTTATTTAAGGATATTAAATTTGTATTTTTTATTTAAAATTTAATTAAATTATTAAAAAAAGTTATTTTTTTATATTAAAATTATCATTTAATTAATTTTTAAATAAAAAAATAAAATTAGCATCTTTATGTAAAAAATGTAAAATTAGTATTTTTAAAGAAAAAATGTAAAATTTGTATTTTTAAATAGACATAGTCGAAATTTTATTATTTTATTTAAAAATTGATAAATTTTGTATTTTTAAATAATAAATAATAAAAATTGAATACTTATGCACGCACTATAGCCGAGTATATTTTTTTTTAAAATTAATCATGTGGGCTGATACAAGACCCACGTCCCAGACAATGGACTAGAAAAATTGGGCCGACATTCGGCCCTCACAATATTAAGTCCTGAATCTAATTTTCCAAAAAAAGAAAAAATGGCCAGGTCGGTTGTTTGTTACCCGCAGTGGACTGGGATGTGAAATACGAATGTCGTGCAAAATAAATTCAAGACAAATGAACGGTCATTGAATTGCCGCCGGTGTGTTTCTCCGGCTCTCTGTTTCTGCTCAATTTCAGAATCCGTTCATCTTCATCAGCTTCGGTTGAATTCATCGGAGAAAAACAAGATGGCGAACCAATCTCCGTCACCGTCGAATGCATCCCCGACAAACATCACTGATTTGGATGTGGATTCACTAGCTCGCTGCGCCGATTACCTGAGCCTGCAGGACATCTCCAACATGGCCATGGCCTCTAGATTCCTCAAAAAAGTCGCTTATTCCGATTCCATCTGGCTCCGCTTCTTCCGGTGGTTTCCCTTCTTTCCCTTTCTCCCTCACACCGCGCAGTTAACATCTAATTCTTATGGTTTTTGGTTTCCTGTCGTATAGGGAGCGCTGGCCGCAGGAAATACTTCCCAAGTCTTCGCAAATACCAGGGGTCAGGGAGGCGTATTTGGCAAGGCGTACTGCGCTGCTACAGTTCAAATTCGTTGATCCCTTGGTTGCAGACTTCTATGCGGAGCCAAGATGTTTCGACCACATTCTATTCGATAAAAATGATATCATTTTCACTCAGGTATGAGCTGAACTTTCATTTCATCCTATTTGGTTTTGGTCTGTGGCTACTTTCTGCGCTTTTGTTTGGCATATCGTCTATGAATTATATTTTCTTTATCTTTTTTAATAGGGCTCATTGATACAAACGATGAACATTGATAGTTTCTTGAGTGGAGGAGGCTCTGTTGTCAGACTGAATGATCATAAGGCGAGAATTACTTGTATGAGGTCAGAATAACTGAGATTTGAGATTTCCTTGTGTATTGATTCTTCATATTTGGTTTGGAGTGGACATATTTACTGTTGATGTTTTAGATTCAGAATTATAAAATAATATTTTATATCAATGTTTAGATTAAGTAGAAACATGGTATCCAAAATGAGTATCAGCCATAGGGCTCTCAACTCATGGGATTATTTGATTTGCAGATTGTTTCCTCTCCATGAAACTTCTTTATTTCGAAGTGAGACACAAAGAGAGGAAAACATTTTGGTTACTTCAAGTTGTGACCATTCTATTCGTCTTTGGTGGAAGGTATTGTATGTCATGTGTTTGTTTTTTTGTTATCTCAACGGATTGTACTTGTATTGCTTTTCACCCTCTTGCTTGATGATTTGGTTACCCATTCATTGAACCAGCGATTCAATGTGCATTTGATTCATGTTGTGTGTTGTAACTTAGTTGTTTGATTGTTGCTAAGCAATACTTTATTCTTTACATTTTGCTGCAACCTGTTGAAGTCATTCTGTCTTATACCCAAATTGCAGGGTGCTAGCCAGCGATGTTTTAGAGGTCATAGTGGTGCAGTCACCACCATGTCAGATAAATTGTTAGGTGATGGAATAGACAAAGTATTAGCAAGTGGTGGGGAGGATGGTACTGTTCGCTTGTGGTCTCTTGGATCTAGTGGAAAACGCGGCCAACAAGCTTTAAGGGCCACTCTTTATGGGCATGTGAAACCCATTAGTTTGATGTCAGTTGCTGGGTAAGAATGCACTTCTGGAAGATGCCTATGTTATTTTTCTCTAGTAACTTAAACGAAGAAAGAAAGTAGTGTATGAGGTTTAGGTAGTATCTTTTACTTATAAACATAATGAACTTCTTTAAGCTAGAATTGTTTTGATTTCTTCTTGCTTATTTATATATTAAAGTTTGTATCATTTTATTGTTATTCTATATCAAAAGCGAGAGATTCTTGGCAAAGGATCAAGTTTAGTTTATTTGATCTTGGTGATTTTCATCTCATTCATGGTTCTTTTCTGATCAATCAAACCTTAATGTTAAGTTGATTTTGTTCTGAGGTTTGATTGGAAACTACCCACAATCCAGTTGAATCTGTTGTCAGTTTCCATGTCAAAAATCAATGTAGAATTCAGTCCTTGTCAGAAAAAGTCCAGACCAAACTAGTTATGCTTACCTGCAGTTGTTTTTCTTTCTTCCTTACGTCTTAACTGTCACAATTTCATGAGCCATTAATGATTCTTGAGCATTAACTATTTCATGCAACTAATTTATTCAAAAATCAAAATGTTTATCCTATTATCCTGATTCTGGTTTCTTCATTTTCATATGTTTTTTATTCTTCTAGGCATAAGAGTTCTCTTCTAGCAACCATCTCAAAGGATTCAAAGGTATTTCATTCATCCTTCCCGTTGAAAATTTGCTTCATAACAACATTGTTTGATCTTTCATTTTCAGTTATGCTAAAAAGCTAAGTTACCTTCTTGCAGATAATACTGCTACCACTAATTGGCAAAAAAATATAATAAAAAGACTATTAAATAAGAAAATGGACACCAATTTAGAGTTTAACAAGTATTTAAACTGCTTATGTGGCAATAAAGTTTATGTGGATGATTGCTTTTCATTTGATTGTTAATTACATCTCTAAAATAGCCTATGCACTTTATGTTTTAGATTAAACTTGTTTGTTGAGAAGTAAGTTTCACAAAGATATTACAAGAAGGAAAACGTAGAAAGATTTACATACCAGGGACGAGCTGAGTGACAATTATCCCCCCAGATGGTTGTTGTACCTTACTTGAAACATTTGGGAAACTAAGAGTTAACTTATTGTGTCTGACTTAATGCAATTGTTCAACAAAGAGAACCATTTCATTTGTTTAACTTTGCTAGTTATTTTTCAATTTCTTTTTATATGCATTGCCTCTTTCTTTTTTCTTTTCTTTGACCATTCTGAAGTTTAATTAGGTGAGAGTGTGGGATGCAACTACATCATCAGCCATTCGTTCTTCATGTTGTGTGGGAATGACTTCTGTACCTGGCACACCAGTGAGCATGAAATGCCATGAAGCTTTGCTCTATGTTGCTGCTGGTTCCTCTGTTGCAATAATTGATTTAAGGACAATGCAAAAGGTTAACACTGCACCAAAGTGTACACAACAATTGTATTCCTTTGCAGTTATGCCCTCAAAATCCTTATTCTGCACTGGTGGAGTTGGCAAGTAAGCCCCTTTCTGATGATTAAATTCTTATACTCTCAGCTGGTTTATTTTTCCTTATGATAAGTGGTCATTTTTCAAAGATGGGTCAATGCTTGGGTCAATATTTCTGCATTCATGGTGTTACCTCCATTTTGCCATGTTAACTGCAGGACTCAATTGGCATGTCTTTGGTTTGTCTTTGTTGAACTACAGAGCTGCTTTATGATTTTTATTAGTTGTTAAATGTTAGCATGTCTCGTAATGATCTGATTATGAGGATAGCTTGGAATATCAATTTTGCTAACTTGCTAAACTGACACAACAAAATTAATGTAGGGCAATGCTTTGGGATGTTAGGAGAGACACACATCCAGTTGCAGAGTTGGATGGTCATGCTGGTTCCGTGACACTATTACACATGGATCAATGCAAGATAGTTACTGGTGGACCAAGTGATATTTATGTTAATGCTTGGGAGGCCGACACTGGTAGAAAAACAAATTCCCTGATGTGTTGCCGCTATGAGGATGCAAGAACATTCCCTGGGTGTTCAGCCATGGCTGTAGATGGGTATCGAATTGTTACTGCTGCTAATGATGTTGAGGGAATTCTCCTTTTTAGAGATTTCTCCGATGCTACGAGTCCTGTTTTACAATCTGGTAATGAGCCCACTTCAAAATTTTGGGGGCAGCAATCCTATAGCAGCTCTGAAAACTCAGATGAAGAAAAAGACTAGCTTGTATGTGAAGTTTGTTCCTTTGTCTTTCTTTTGTTGTTTATATTTATTGCAGATTCTGAAATCTTTAGCATTTTGTTCAGGAATGGGGTAGATTCTTAATTTTGTACAAACGGAGAAGATTTCTGTATTTTGTAAAATTATACTTATATGTAATAAAAAATATATTCGTTATCAAATTCACAATTATTGAAAATACAGGGTGTAAATTGTAAATAAAATGATTGTTAATTTTGCTGATTAAACCCTTCTGGTTTTCTATTTTTCCAATCCAGGCCATTCAAGCTTACTAGTTACTGCTTTTCGAGGACACAGACTCGGACTTGACTCGGAACATCGGAAACACTTTCGAGTTTGAGTTTTGAGTAGATCCCATCGCCTCTGTCGCTGAATCCCACTTCCCCAAAACCCTAACCCCCAAAATGCCCACCACAGTCCTCCTCCTGATCCTCATCGCCACCACCGCCCTCTACCCACTCGCCACCAACTCCTCCCCAATCCTCGGCCTTGACTCCTTCCTAAGTGACCAGTCCCGCGTTGATCCCCAGTCCACCAAGGACACCTTCTCCTCCCTCCCTACTTCTCTCAAGAAATCCCTTTCCTCCCCTTCCACTTTCCACATCCCTTCCATCGTCTCCTCCCTCCTATCCCTCTCCCTCCCCATTTCCCTCCACGTTCGCCTCGTCGGAACCTCGTTCCCGGCTGATTCCCCT